AGAGGAGGGGGAGGCGATGCCCCCCACGGGGGGCGACGCCCTCCGCTCGGCCATGCTCGCCGAAATTCGAAATTTTCGACCGAAGAAAAAACGGAGCAGCGCCGAGGACGAAGCCCGCGCTAAACGAAGGTGAGGTACCATACATTAATTTAGCGGCTGCCCCAACTCTGCATCAGGTGCCGCCCAGGACTCGGGGAGCGCGTAAATCAGCCGCTAATGTCCGCTACGGCCGGACTCGAAGTGCACCTCTGAGCAGTTTGTCTTAAAAGTCTCTGAGCAAAGTCTTAAAGAAGTTTCTGACCAGAATCTGATTTTCATGGGTGGCCGAGCAGACCCTAAATAAAGTTAAGCCATCATAACGAACCTTCGTCCGAATCCTGGGCACACCCAAATTTTGTTAGGGTGTAAAAATTTTGGGTGCTTATGACACGACTGAGATTTGCCCATCATAATTAACAATTTCTATTAATTTTTACCCTAATTATTAACCACTACTCTTGTCAGCGCGACCATCGCGAAGCTACTGGATAAGAATTTGATGAAAAATTCTCATTTGTTAGGATATGGAAATTTTGGGTGCTTATAACGTGAGTAAGATTTACGCATCATTATTAACACTTTACACTAATTTTTACCCTAATTATTAACCGCGATGTTTGTTACCCATCTTTATTACCCATTTCTATTACTTTTAACCCTAATTATTAACCGCGATGTTTGTTACCCATTATTATTACCCATTTCCATTACTTTTAACCCTAATTATTAACCCCGATGTTTGTTACCATCATTATTACCCATTTCCATTACTTTTAACCCTAATTATTAACCGCGATGTTTGTTACCATCATTATTACCCATTTCCATTACTTTTAACCCTAATTATTAACCGCTATTCTTGTCAGCGCGACCATCGCGGAGCTACTGGAGACCGAAGAGGAGCTAGTACGGGACTTGCACTCTGCGGTTGACCGCTACTTACGCATCATTATTAACACTTTACACTAATTTTTACCCTCATTATTAACTTTTTACCCTAATTATTAACCGCTACCTTTGTCAGCGCGACCATCGCGGAGCTACTGGAGACCGAGGAGGAGCTTGTAAGGGACCTGCACTTCGCGGTTGACCGCTACTACCACCACCTGGACCTGCCCACCACCCCCCGCCATGTCACCGACGCCAGGGACATTTTGTTCGGCAACTTCAACTTCTTCCCTGACTTCCATAAGAAGTGAGGGGACATGTGGGTGTATAAGGGGGTTAGGTGACGTTGGAAGTGAGGGTTGGGGTCTAAACGGGGTTAGGTGAGGTTGGGAGAGAGGGGTTGGGGTATAAACGGGGGTTAGGTGATGTTGGAAGTAAAGGGTTGGGGTCTAAATGGGGGTTAGGTGACGTCGGAAGTGAGGGTTGGGGTGTAAGAGGTTGGGGCCTAAGAGGGGTCCAAATGGTGGTTAAGTGACGTTGGGAGAGAGGGGTTGGGGTCAAAACGGGGGTAGGTGACGTTAGAAGTGAGGGTTGGGGCTAAATGGGGGTTAGGTTGACGTTGGAAGTGAGGGTTGGGGGCTAAATGGGGGTTAGGTTACG